GGATCAGAGATGAAGCAGCAGGAAGCACGTGCAGTCTGAACGTAGCATAAGCCACCAGCAACATGTAGAGAGACAAATACCGCAGAGCAGGGAGTCTCCGAGCCGCCGTGTCCCAGGAATCTCCCTTCCTTTTGGGTCGACACACCAGCACTGCGCCCCCTGCTGACACTGCTTAGACCTGAACGAGCCTCCCGCCTCACAGGAGGGGACGAAAACGCTGGATGACTCCATGGCCACGCGCCTCTCCTCCTCACAAGCAGACGGACCTGATTGGGATGAGGGGAAGGTCTCAGATTCCAACTGGTGTTAAAGTTAAACCTTTTACTCAGTCTGGATTTAGCCCTGAGTTCTGAATGTTCTGCTGGGAGTGCAGTGAGTTTACATCTGAAGTGTCCGGTGAGGGCGAGGCGAACTCCCAGCATCCTCCTTTGCAGGACTCTGTAGATGTTGGTTTCAGAGAAGGATCGAGGAGAATGCAGACGGGGAAATGCCGAGTCGTACACCTCAGACATGAGGAGCTCCACACCTGGACAGGAAGTTCACACCTGCATCACGACTTAAGCCGGTGCTCAGACGGATTAAACAGTTCAGATTGGAATTTATTCTAAAAAGTTAAAATCAAACAACTGGACTTTGTTTCCAAGTTTGAAGACATTTCTCTTCATATCCAGGAAGATTTTTCAATTCAAAATGTCAGAAATAGCGTTGAGTTCAAAGCTTCATAGAGTGGACCGAAAACAAAGCCTTATTTTGGTTTAGAAAACATGCAAATTGAGCCTGACGAGCTGGTCCAGCCCTTTGGAATGGGGATCCATTTGTTTCTTTGTTTGCCTGTAATACCAGAAAGCTGTCCATGTCTCTGAAAGGGGGATCGTTAATGTGGCAGGGAAATCATATTTAAATGTCAAATCATTCTCGCTTAAACATGTACATAAATGTACTCTCTATCAGACCATATTGTAACCTGACTCCGCCAGATGGATTTGCTCCGCATATCCATCTGGAAACCTTCCGTTGAAGTAATTTTGGGAAGGGG